TGGGAGCAGGTGAGCACAGCTCGCCGTCACTGAATAAGGGAGAACAGGTGTGTTCTCTCCATTGGCCAGATGAAGGTACTGGGACTAAAACAGAAAGTGGCAGACTTGCTAACTATGACTCTGGGACAAGACACCAGGACTCCTGAATCTTGGGGGCTGTTTATATAACAGTTTGCTCTCTCCCTGAGATGCCTTTTATTTGCATTGCCCTTAAAGTTAACAGAGTGTAGTCACTCACTTTCCTTGAAGATTCTCCATCCCCATCAGCATGTGAACTTCTAGTGACCCTACAAAATCCAGCCCTCTGTCAGCACACCTTAAGTCTTTAACAAACCCCTTAAAGCATAGGCAACCTTAGACTATTTTGGATACCTTCAACTCATTTGAATAAAATGGAAATAATGCTATTAGGTAGGAATGTTAAGAGGATTAATAAGATATGTTGCCCTGGCCGGTTTTGCTCAGTGGATAGAGCATCAGCATGAGGACTGAAGAGTCCTGGGTTTGATTCCTGTCAGGGGCAGGTGCCTGGGTTGCAGGCTCGATACCCGGTGGGGGGCGTGCAGGAGACAGCCGATCAATGAATCTCTCTCATCATTGATGTTTCTATCTCTCTCTCCCTCTCCTTCCTCTCTGAAATCAATAAAAATACATTTTTTTAAAAGAAGAAGATACGTTAAGTGCTCAACCCATAGGAAGCTTTCTGTGAGTGGTTATTAATTAATGGACATCTTCATAGAGAGTTCAGTGGACAGTGAGTAGGAAAAAGACATTGCCAGGCCTTCAGCTCTAACCTTGGGGATATTCTTATTAACATCACAGACATGCCTCCCTCCTGTCCTCTAAATGTCAAACCTTGCCCTACCCAAGATCAGCCGGAAGACACAATGCTTGTGCTCAGTTCCTGCCACATAAAAACAACAGGACTCGAACAACTTCTCGACCAAAACTATTCCAAATATTTTTGCCCCTTACTTAATCTCAGTGATAAATGCCATGTAAAGAGCTGACGCTAAATGCCAATGCATAAACCAGCTGGATAGCAGCAAAAACATGAGCCATTAGGCCCCTCTTTCTGATGCTCAGGGGAGTTTACCTGTTCTTTTTCCACGGGCACCACAGTGGAGTACCGTGTGATGTGTTTTATAGTCAGCATAGCAACAGCAGGGATATATACATATTTAAAGTATCCACGCATCTCTCTGAGTGCTTTTAATACCAGCCTGTACCATGCACACCAGCAGGAGGTGGCATTTAATAGCACAGCTCACCAGAGGTACAGTGTCCCAGAAAATTCCACCTGTTTCAGTGTTGACCAGATGCAAGGCACCGTGCATAGCATTTTCATGAACACCCACCCCATGACCTCCAGAGCACCCATGACATGTCAGTAATATAGTCCCGTCTTAGACCCTGGGGACACTGAGATCACAAGGTTAAGGAGACTATAATGACCATGTGGATAGTCAACAGCCAAGAGAGACCCTACGTCTTCTGGTCCCAACTTGCACAACTTGATGCTACAATGTGGTGGCCTTGGTCTTCTCTACAACTGTGTGTCTCCCTGGTTCAGGCATGAGGATCCTGGAGACTCCGGAACAGTATGCTCAGGCTCCGTGGGAACTCAGCTACCATCCAGTGTCATGACTTCCATTGATTTTAAAAATTATTATCTGCAAAAGAAATTGCATTGAGAACCCCATTATGTAAAACTAGACTCAAGTGGGACTCATCTGCCTCAATTGTAAATGTTGAGGAAAATAGTGCTGTAGCCTTCAGTGGCCCCACCTTGGGGCACAATGTGAAAAGCACTAGTTTGGAACAATCCCCACATCTTATAATTGAGGAAACTGAGTCCTAGAGAGAAGAAGGGACTCGCCAAAGACAACTTTTTGAAAGTCTTCAGAGCACTTTCACCTTCATTCTCTCATGTCATTCTATTTGCCGTGGGTTGTGGTCACATCATGTTATGAGAAACGGGCTGTGACTTCCCCGGCTTTACCCAGACAGTAAGAACCGGACCTAGGATTCTAACTCAGGTCTTCTGACTCCAGCTCCTCCTTGCCTTCCCACCATTCCACAGCGGCATCCCAGGCCTCTCACGAGGAAGTGAAAACTATGCTTCATTGAAACCAAAGTTCCCAACAATCCAAAACCCTTCTGCATGTTCTGAAGCGCCCGGACTCCAGTGCCTATCAGCTCTCAATATTTATTGAACAGGCCGCCGGTCACTGCTTCACAGTCTGGGTCAGTCTCAGAGTTTATCCTAAGCTCCGCAAGCACCTGTTGTGTTGTCCCTCCTCCTGTGCCATGCTGGGTGCAATCATTAGAGGGTAAGTGGCTAATTTGTACCTGCTATTGTTCAGCAAGCTGACCCTTCCCATGCAGCCCAGAGGGGAGAGGCCTGGTGGGAAGGGGGCAGGCGAGAAAAGGGAGACATGAGTTGCCCGTTAACCAGGGAGTTAGCAGCGCAGCAAGAGGACAGCGTGAGAGCAAACAAAGAAGTGGGGAGTAAGAAAGGATGGCTCCTCGGTGTCTCCTAGCCTGCACTCTGCAGATGGGGTCCCCGAGGGAGTCACCAGGTGCTGCCTCTGAACACCTCGCTCCTGTCGTCTTTGCTGCTGTGCAAGATGGAGGCCCCAGGGATTCTCCCAGAAGTATAATCCAGATGTACTGTCACAAAAGAGCCAATGTCTGGACTCCGGAGACACAGAAGAGACGATGGGTCAGAATAATAGCAATAATCAGGAGAAAGGGGCCATGAGAGAACAACCATTTAAGGATATGCCTTTTAAAGAAAGTCTTTCTTTCCCGTTCCTAAGACCAGAGAATGCTAAGGGCAGGGCAGAAGAATGAGCATATGGAAGAGCAACATGTGAACCTCATCAGCCCTCCTGTTCATGACAACGGGCCACAGCTCCCCTATGCTTGGGGGCTGGAGTAAAATAAGAGACAAGAATTTGAGATGCAGAGGACTAAATCTTAGTCCTTGAGAGCGACCAAGAAGTTATAAAATCTGGCTACAGTGTCATTACGTAGGTGACTGTATAATTTATTTCAAATTCCAGGGCACTAATGAGAGTCAAAGGGGGCACTATTTATAATTGCTTGAGGACAAAGGTGTCCCAGGCAAACTAGGACATATGTCACTGTGCCCATAGAAAAGGGGCTTCCACAGAGCACAACAGTTAACAGATTGTGAAAAAATAAAAGTGCTCCAGGTTTACATTTGAAATTAAATTATAAAGCCAGTTAATATCCACTTTAACTTTTTTAGTATTGAAGTCACTTTGAGAGATCCCTGTAATAACTGAAAGCCCCTCATGAAATAAAATGTAAACATAATCATTCAGGATGTAAGTACTAAGAAAAAGGAAAGCCCTGGGCACTAGAGGAGCTTGGATGGGGTCCAGAAAGAATTTCCAAAGGAAGACACATGGTGCTGCACCTTTAAATTCAAATAGAAAATACACAAATTCACGAGAAGGGGAGAATGGAGAGGGGAAGGCCAAGGAAAAAGCATGTGAAAAATCCATAAATGCAAGGAGGACACTAAGAGATAAAAGTGATTAGATCTAAAGCCTAAGGCGGATGAACTGCATTTGTAGGCCAACTCTAGCCCTGTCTGTATTTGTCAATAAAGTTTTATTGGCACACCACCGCAGCTATTATTTTACATATTGCTTTATGGCTGCTTTCACCCTTCTGTGGCAGAGCTGAGCAGTTGCAACAGAAACGGTCTAGCCTAAAATATTAGCAACTAGCTGGCCCTTTATAGAAAACATTTGCTGACTCTCTTATCTAAAGCTCTAAATAGTGAACCTGTTGCCCCCTCCCGTTCACTGCCAGGTCTAAGGAGGTATACGAAAAGGTGATGGTGTTTCATTATTACTACTCCTTTATTACTTTATCATTTCAATAGTTTATTAAAACTACTAACACAGGCCTTTGATTTCACATGTCTATTTGGTTTCCTACCTTGGCTGGATGTGGACATAACAGAAGATTTGTTTGTGAATGACAGAGGCAGGTTTAAAGAGATTGCCTCTAACATGCGATGCTCTCAGCCCCGTTTTCTAAGTTAGATCCTCTCAGAAACAAGCCCTAAGAAGAGAACAGAGGGCATGGGATTACCTTGGAGGTGCAGAGAGCCTGGCAGGGGATGGGAGGGCAATACTGCAGGACAGAGCAGACAGTAAAGGGCGTGTCATTTGTTCAGCAACCACAGAGGACAACCAGAGTGTCACCACTCCAGGAATATGTAGGAATTGTGTGCAACACCTGCCTCAAAAACATCCTGGCCGAGGGAGGAGGATGCTGGGCTGCTTCTACTGAATCCCCAGCTATCATTGGTCCTTAGAAAACCCATCCCCGGATACCAGTTCCTAATTATGGGCTGGACAAAGTGGCTCCAACAGCTTGACGATGATTCAGATGAATAATATCTTAATTTTATTTAAATAATGCCATCTCAATTACATGTAGATGTACTCTCTCTAAATACATGTGCAAAATATTAACTGTATATATTTTACAAAAAATATATATGCACATAATTTAATTTTCAAAACACCTTTGTGAGATATGTGTATGTATGCATATACATGCACCTGTATATATATTATTCCCACTTTATAGATATAAAAAAAAATGAAGCGCTGAGAGATAGCATGTGTGTGAAGGGGGGGAGACAGAGACTTCAGCATGAGGCAGATTGAGATTTAAGCCCTCACTTTGAGACTAGCAGAGTGAACTGGAGAAGTTACTTAAGCTATCTGAGCCCTTAAGTTGGGTTTTTAGGACTAACAGTGTATTTAAGGAGGCCAAATAAAGTAATGTGCCCATTCCATAGGGTTTTTAGGAGGACTTAAATGAAGTAATGTTGTCATAACAATAGATACTGTTTTAGGGTACCACATACCAGGCACTGTGCTAAACGCTGTATGTGCTTGGCTTCACTTCATTGTCTCAATCTTTTGTGATAGGTTACATATCCCAGCGCGGCGAGGACGGAGAACATTGAGCAATTGTGTGAAGCTGTGCAGGTCACTGTCAGCACACGCTGGGAAGGCGACAAGAGGGGCTGGAAATAATCGAAGAGCCTGAGGGAGAAGCGCTGCCCGGGAAGAGCAGGACGCGCAGAAGGTAGGACTATGATACGGTTTCCACCCCCTGCTGCAGAGGCTGCCTGCACAGGGCGGGGGCCCGGTCAACGGCTTGACAGATTGCACCTCTTAAGCTATGTTTCTGTTTGTTTCTCCTGCTGCAATAAATCAGGCTGCGTAACAGTAAAATATTTATTTACTCACAGGGCAAGAGTAACACCACGTGCTAAATAGGCACGTATAATGGCAAAGACGGAAAGCCAGCTGGCGGTGTCAGACCTCGCGCACGGGGCCATGTCAGTAAGCAGCAGACCACGACTTTCCCAGGACCCTGAAATACATGGCCCTTCGGCCGGGCTACCGCTCAGAAATGATCTCCGATGGAAAAGCTAGCAGAAAAGGAAAAGCCTTCCTGGCTGCGTTCCGGGTCCTGGAACCCTCAGAACTCAGTGTTGGCATTCGCAGTCCCTCCGCCTGAACCAGGTTTTCTCCCAGAGCCACATGGCCCACTCCCTACTTCACTCAGTCCTCTGGTCACACGTGGGGCCCGAGACCCTTCCACCACCTTAGCTGAATTAGCTACGTCCCCACCTGCACTCGCTCTCTCCCCATTCCTGCTGTTTGCTCCTCACAGCATCTATTGACAGCTGCCACTTCAAATGTCACCCCATGACTTTACTGCTATACAGTCACGCAACACTAAGGACGGGGATACATTCTCAGCAATGTGTCATTCCGTGATTTCGTCATTGTGCAAACATCACAGAGTGCACTTACTCAAACCAAAAGGTAGACCCTCCTACACTCCTAAGCTATATGGTGTCGCCTATCACTCCTACGCTACAAGCCTATATAACATGTCACTGTACAAAACAACATGAGATTAAATAAAGCACAAGAGAAAATGATGCATTCAAGAGACGTGGTTAAATACAAGATGTAATGAGGCTGCTGCCAGTGTAGCCTGGCATATTGTTTTACAGCAAAAATGTGTGTTTTATAAGTAGAAAGAATACAACCTAAAATAATGATAAAAGTATAATAAATACATAAGCCAGTGACATAGTTTATTATCATTATCAAGTATCACGTACTGTACAGAATTGTATGTGCTATACTCTTATCCGACTGGCAGCTCAGTTTGTTGACAGCAGCATCACCACAAACATGTGAGTAATGCATTGCACTAGACATTATGACAACTACAATGTCACCAGGTGAGAGGAAATTTTCAGCTCCACTAGCATCCTATGGGACTACCAGCATATATGCCGTCCATCATTGACCAAAATGTTGTTAAACAGCACATGACTATAACTGTATCTATCTGTTCAGTTACTTATTTTTTATGTATTCATGTATTTATATTTTATGTTCCTGTGCATTATCTGTCTCTCCACACTAGAATGTAAACTGCACAAGAACAGGAACTTTCTGTTCATTGAAGCACCTCAAACATCTACAACAGAGCAGAGAGTAAAGATTTTTCTAAATAACAATTTATCCTCATGCCTGTTAGTAGGTTTGTTTTATTTGTTGATTTGCTTTTAAACAAGAGTTATAAACAAGCTTGAGTGGTACTGTCTGTCCCTTCTCTTGGGTCCCTGGGGTTGGATTGTCTAAATATCACACTGAATGAAGAAAAGAAGCCAAAATACATATTAACTGTCTATTTTTTATCGAGGTTTTACGCAATAATTTTAAACTGATTTTCTTATCATGGTCTCACACTACACTAGGAAGACTGTGTTGGTATTGTTTTTCCCTTTTGAAAGATATGGAAGCTCTAGTTTAGAGAAGTTAAAGGGCTTGCCCAAAGTCACACAGCAAGTTAGCCATTGGAGAAACGGGTGGCTGATGTTACAATACAGAAATCTGGATTCCAATCTCCTGAGTTTTTCGTTAGGCACAAGACAGGAAAATGATTGCACCACCTGCCACAGCGCCTCCATGACCACGAAAGACATTAATCATCCACTAGAACCAAAGCTATACCTTCCTCTGGACCAGGGCATCACTCTTCTTCAACACAGCATTCCCGCCAGCCTCCATCAAGCCATGATGTTGGAGATAAGCATGCCTACTTGCTACCTATCCTATTGACTCTTTTTTTCCTTTTTTATTGACTTTATTGAGGTGACAATTGTTAATAAAATTATGTAGGCTTCAAGTATACAATTCTATAATACATCACCTGTATATTGTATTATGTGTTCACCACCCCAGGTCAAGTCTCCTTCCATCACCATCCCCACTCCCTTCCCTCTTCTACCTCACCCCACCTCCCTTTCTCTCTGGTAATCACCATACTGTTGTCTGTGTCCATGCTTTTTTTTCTTTCTTTTTTTTCTTTTGCCCTTTCCCAATCCCATTTACAAGATGAAGACAACGTATGGCTTAGGATCTAGGAGGGTCTTTTAGGGATGACAACTAGAAAGCTTTACTAGCTGCTCAGCACCACTTCACAATACGGCAAGTATATTACTGTTATTTTGATACACTGCACTGGAATGAACTTTTATACACATGCGCACACACACACACATTCACATTCACACAGAGTCATAAAATAGTATTACAAATTATGTGTGAGAACAGGAGTAGAGGCTTTAAAATATTTATTTTGTTGCCATCACAGGTATATCTCAGATTAATGCTGTACAGAAACTAGAAAGAATGAATGTAATCCTTTGGTACTAGATGTTTACATTTCAGATGGTTCTAAATCTTACACGCCTACAGTATCAAACCGAGCAAACTGGTCTTGCTAAGGCTTGTGTGTTTATTTATTTGTTTTGCACAGGCGAAGACTGAAGAGCCGTCTTCTGGTTAAGGAGTATTCCCAAAGAATCTGGTTTATACCCATCACTAATTGTGATGCATAATTATTTTGCAAATAGGCAGTAAGTGTAAAATTTCATTATACCTGATTTCTCAGTAACCACCTGGGGTTCTAATTAAAATTCACTCTTGATATATGTAATAGCATCAGATAATGTTATCCTTACCTCATTATGTAATAATTACATCTGTGGCTTTTGGTTTTGGTTTTAATTAGTACCCACAGTCCTCTACAAATGACATGGGGCAACCAACAGAATTCATTTTCTTATGGTAGGAGAAAAAGCTTAAAGGACAAAGAAAGCATCCGACAGTAATTTGGACACCATAAATACATAAATGAAAGGTCAGTGATTTGAGCTAGATTGGATTGTATTTCATCCTTCCTTTTCTCTTACTCACCAGTCCCTATGACAAGGCTGTAGAGGGGCCCTTGTGGATATCCTGTAAAGGGAGAAGCCTGTGATAAGTGGTGGCTCTCTCCATTTATGCAATTCCATGATGGCTTCATGGTGATTTATATAGCTTCACTCATTCTTCCTCAGAGCTTTGCACCATACTTGCTGTAGAACTCTGGGAAACCGGAAGGGGTGGTGCTTGGTGATGGGTAGTATCAGCAGAGTAACCAGAGGAATCAGCAGTGTGGCTTCACCCAGGACCTGGTGACAGGTTTAAGGGCAGAAGGCAAGAAGGCAGAAGGCAGAAGGAACAAGGGAGATGGAAGGTTGCCCTAATGTCTAATCTCATCTCACTCCTTGAATCAGGTTTGTGCAAGACAAAGGCTTAGAGTCGCTTTACTTTGGGTTTAAATAAAATGCAAAGTCATTTTGGAATTAAAAATCAGGGGAGGCCAGAGGACATCTTGGCTACAGTAATTTTATATTTAAAATAAAAATTTAGTGGACATATGTTGAAAACTTGAGGCTCTGTCCCAAAGGATTGCCCTTGAGAGAACATAAAAATGCTTTAGTTATAAATAACTATTTTATTTCCTAACTAATTTGTTAATTCAGTTTTACCTCCTATGCTTGAGACCTGTCATGACCCTGTTTAAGAACCTTTAATGGTTCTCCACTTCCCATGAGATTGGTTCTAAATGGCTTCTAGTCAAACCCCAAACCCTATGTTCTGCGTTAGCTTCTGATATTTCCCTTAAACAATATTTCAACCCAGTCTTTCTGGTCCTAAAATCATGCCTTACACCTCTCTCTCTCTCTCTCTCTCTCTCTCTCTCTCTCTCTCTCTCTCTCTCTCTCTCTCTCTCTCTCCTTTCTCCATAAAATAAATAAAGCCTAAACAAGGTTTTACTGCTCTCTCATTGCCCCTACATATTCCTGTGTTCCCACCTCAAGCCCCATGTGTTACTACAGAGTACACAATGGACTCTGTCACTTAATATAAGAATGATCTACTTAAGAGCCATGGGAAGCTGAGTGCTACACTAGCCATAAAATCACTGCTCTCCTCTCCAGGTCCATAGTAGGCAGCCTGCCTTCAGCCTAAGAAACATACAGGCCCACATGCTGCAATCTAACCCACCAAGATGCTCCAGTTGGGCCACCCAAGAGGTTAACTTGGCAAACATTTCTGAGCACTGGCCAAGTGAATCACCTTGCTGGGGTCTTCATATGGATTACCTCACAGTGACCCTCAAGGACCCTGTGAGGTTTTTGGGTGTATCCTCAAAAACAGACATAACCCAGGCTCAGTGAGTTTGAATGACTTGTCTTAGGTTGCATAGTTAATGCGTCATCAGAAAGAACCTGGCACAATTAACTCCCAGACATCTATGGCTTTTTTACACACCAACAATAAACTCACAGAAAGAGAAACTAAAAACACAATCCCATTTAGCATTGCACAAAAAAAATTAAGATACCTAGGAATAAACTTAACTAAGGGAGTAAAAGACCTATACTCAGAAAATTACAGAGATTGAAGAAAGAGACAGAGGAAGACATAAACAAATGGAAGAATATACCATGCTCATTGATCGGTATAATCAACCTCTTTAAAATGTCTATACTACCCAAAGCAATCTATAGATTCAATGCACTCCCCCATTAAAATACCAGCGGCATACTTCACAGATCTAGAACAAACTCTCCGAAAATTCATCTGGAATTAAAAAAAAAAAAGGCCTCAAATAGCTGCAGCAATCCTGAGAAAGAAGAGCAAAGCTGGAGGGATCACAATACCAGATATCAAGCTATATTACAAAGCCACTGTTCTCAAAACTGCCAGGTCCTGGCACAAGAACAGACATATAGACCAATGGAACAGAACAGAGAACCCAGAAATCGGCCCAAGCCAATTATGCTCAATTAATATTGGACAAAGGAGGCAAGAACATACAATGGAGTCAAGACAGTCTCTTCAATAAATGGTGCTGGGAAAATTGGACAGATACATGCAAAAAAAAAAAAAATGAAACTAGACCACCAACTTACACCATACACAAAAATAAACTCCAAATGGATAAAGTTTTTAAACGTAAGATGGGAAACCATAAAAATCTTAGAAGAATCCATAGGCAGCAAAATATCAGACATATGTCGTAGCAATATTTTTACTGATACAGCTCCTAGGTCAATGGAAACTAAGGAGAAAATAAACAGATGGGACTACATCAAAATAAAAAGCTTCTGCACAGCAAAAGAAACCATCAACAAAAACAGTCCACTGCATGGGAGAACATATTTGCCAATGTCATCCCCAATAAGGGTTTAAATTCCAAAATTTATAGGCAACTCATACAACTTAACAAAAGGAAGATAAACAACCCTATCAAAAAATGGGCAAAGGTTGCTGGGCCAGTTTGGCTCAGTGGATAGAGCGTCGGCCTGTGGACTGAAGGGTCCCGGGTTCGATATCGGCCAAGGGCACATACCTGGGTTGCGGGCTCAATCCCCAGTAGGGGGCATGCAGGAGGCAGCCGATCAATGATTCTCTCTCATCATTGATATTTCTATCTCTCTCTCCCTCTTCCTTCCTCTCTAAAATCAATAAAGAAATATATATATATATTTTTAAATGGGCAAAGGACCTAAATAGGCCCCTTACAAAAGAAGACATACAGAAAGCCAAGAGACATATGAAAACATGCTCAAAGTCACTAATCATCTGAGAGATGCAAATCAAAATCACGAGGTACCATCTCACACCTGTCAGAATGGCTGTATTCAACAAATTAACTTACAAGTGCTGGTGAGGATGTGGAGAAAAAGGAACCCTCACACACTGCTGGTGGGAATGCAGACTGGTGCAGCCACTGTAGAGAACAGTATGGAGTTTCCTCAAAAAACTAAAAATGGAACTCCCATTTGACCTAGTAATCCCACTTCTAGGAATATATCCCAAGAAATCAGAAACACCAATCAGAAAGGATATATGCATCCCTATGTTCATAGCAGCACAATTTACCATAGCTAAGATTTGGAAACAGCCTAAGTGCCCATCAGCAGATGAGTGGATTAGAAAACTGTGGTACATGTACACAATGGAATACTATGCTGCTGTAAAAAAGAAGGAACGCTTACCATTTGCAACAACAGGGAGGGACGTGGAGAGCATTATAAAAGCGAAATAAGTCAGTCAGAGAAAGATAAATGTCACATGATCTCACCCATATGTGGACTATAATGAACAACATAAACTGATAAACTAAAATAGATCCAGAGACATAGAATCATCGAACAGACCATCCAAACTCAGGAGGAAGGCGGTGGAGTGGGGGGTGGGGGTGAAGAGTGAGAGATCAACCAAAGGACTTGTATGCATGCATATAAGCATAACCCATGGACACAGTCAGTAGCAGGGGTGTGAGGGCAAGTGCTGTGGGGGTGGGAACGAGTGGGGAGAGGTCAATGGGGGGAAAAGGATTCCTATGTAATACTTTAAACAAAAAAATAAAGAAAGGAAGAACCTGGCAGGGCAAGTATATTGCTTCTCAACCCTCATCATTGTAGACCAGTCCAACAAGGGGACAGCACTGAGAAAGTCTCCCAGCAGCGAGCATGGCTCCACCCCCACAGTGACAAGACAGAACTCACAGATTTAGAGAAATGAGGAAGCTCATTTATTATCAGGGCAGGTTGGACTGGGTGGCTCTCTGTCACAATTCCTGGAAGAATGTTGACCAATAGTTGATTCCATTCAGAGTGCCACTATTTTACCTACATCCTGTCTTCCCAAGGCTGTGAAGGCCACAGAGATGACCTCAAGCAAGATGACCTTGAGGTCTCAAACATCAGTCAAGCTGAGTGGTCACCATCTCCCCCACGTTCACAGAGAGCTCTCTGTCACAAGCATCAGAGTAACATTAACTCATGTAATCCTTACAAGCACAT